CCCACCTCAAGCCCCACCCCCATCTCCTACCTACTAACCTCATCCCGCCTTTCCGTCCTCCCTAGACTGACCTATCTCCTCCCTAACTCCCCACCACACTCCCCTTTACTGGCTCCATCCCCGCCTCTTTTACTTGTCTGTCTCCTCTCCACCTATCTTCTCCTCTATCCATCTTCTATCCGCCTCCCCCTCTCTGCCTATTTATTTCAGAACCCCCTTCCCCTCCCCTATTTCTGAAGAAGGGTCTCGACCCGAAACGTCGGCTTTCCTGCTCCTCTGATGCTGCTTGACCTGCTGTGTTCATCCAGCTCTACACCGTGTTATCTCAGATTCTCCAGCATCAGCAGTTCCTACTATCTCCGAGTCTATCTAGCCTCTCTTTGTAGCTAAACAGTGATCAGAGGAATTTAGCTGCAACAGTTTTGCTGTTATGTAGCATTAGGTAGTTGTGAAATTTGAAGACTTTTAGCAAAACTTGATGGTGTCAGTGTGTGGGATTAAATTTCTACCACTACGAAAATGTCAATTATTGCCTTTTAATATAAGGGATTGAGTCATGTCATTGTCAGTAGAAGCTGGCCTAGTCATGGACATTTGGCCAAGCTGAGTTCAAACAACATAATATAGTTGGTTATGATATAACGTGATAGTTCCGTTCTTGTGTGATCTCGTGTTATAAGAAAATCGCGCAATAGCCGCACCATTTAAACTAATGGGGCTGGAATCGCATTATAGCCAATACAGGTAAGGAAAGTTCGCGTTCTACAAATAGCGGTCTAAATTTTTTAATCCCCTTAAAGCCAATTTGCATTGAAGAAACACGTTATAGCAGAACTAACTGTACAGTAATATTCTAACAGGAGTAGGTGGAGTACTGGAATTGGTGTATCGTAAGGTACATGTAAAATGGGTGTTATTCATTATTAGTTAGAATGGACTTAAGTTTAAGTGCACTCTCAAAACTTATAATTTGACCAGGTTAATGGTTTTCAGGAAACTGCTCTAATTGTTCATTTACAACATGCTTATTGTGTTGGTAAATTGTTTGATCTTAAGGCATTTGGTGGACAATTCTGTGGTGTTGCAGTCTTTGTTGAAAATCCCAAAACAGAGGATAACTTTGCCATAATGACGGGGCTGTGAGTCCAGGCTGTCATAGTCTTATGATTTTTAATAATGTTTGATACTCTCATGTCTGTCTCAATCTCTGCTTAAACCTCCTTTCTTTCCCAATGTAGGTGGTTTTACAGGTCAGCCAGGTAGAATCCGTGATGCACAATCCAGGGGACTATATTTTACTAAGTGCTGATAAATATGAAATCAAGGTAACTCCATTTTTAAGGGAAAAATGCACTCTTGTAACATTTTACTACTAGGGGTCTTGCATTTTGTCAGCAGTGCTTGAGATTGCTGGGCTTCTTCAAATTGTGCAGCTTGGAAATCTTGCACGATGATAATGGCACTCATGGCCTGACGCCTAAAGTATGCGCAGGTGTTCTGTGGTCTTATTGTTTAAATGATTGTTATTTCTAGATATGACTTTACTGGTCTATTTCTCATAACTATCATTAGAACTCCTTATCCTGTTGTCCTTTTATTACTGATGCATATAACTAATGATCTACTTCAATTATATGAATTTTAAGATTGCTACAAAACAGTTGGCATGTGGTGGTCTATTTACTGGTCAGCCAGATGTATATAAATAAAAGATTTAGGTCTTTGATTTTACATCAAACAGTGTTTCAATCTGTTGCATCAGTCTTACAGTTACCAGATGACGGACAAGCTTGAATGGTGGAATGGATTGACAGAAATTTGGTCTACGTTTTGTTCCGCTATTTAACTTTATCTGCAGTTTGTGATTGAGTTTTGTGGGTTTTCAGCCACAGCAGTTTGTGGGACTATTCACTGTGCCACGTTATCAGGATTTGACCAGTAGGTAACAGTAGCTAAAAGATGAGCTGGCATAGCAAAATATAAATCCATATTTTTTTTGGCATTTGAAGCTTGTGAAATGTAGATGCAACTGAACTGAAATAAATAGTTTTCAAAAAGCAAATAATTTACTAAGGTTTTGGTGAAAGTTTGTCTCCAAAACCAGCACATGAAACAAACTCCAAATTGGTGAGCACTATGGGTTTATTTCAGCTTCAGACCCATGTTGGAGGTATAAAATGGAGACTGCTACACGTCTGCTTTTTAGTTATCTTTGTCTTCTTTTCTTATATACTGACCTCTTTGTGCATAAAGTACTGTTACTTGCACAACCTTAAGTATTTTTGATACTTGATGAGGGAGTTAGCATGTAACTTAACCAGGGATGTGTCACAATCTTTGAGGAGATGTGACTATCTCCCTCTCTCTCTCTCCCTCTCTTCCCCGCTCCCCGCCCCCCGCCTCACCAACCAACCCCACCCCAGTCCCCGTTGCCTCACTGTTGGCACCAAGGTCGGGCATGCTGATTCCACAGCAGTTCTGCTAATGTTCAGATAACTATGGATCACAATCCATTACAAAAAGTAAAGTTTAGTGGATGAGCCCCCCCCCCCAAATCAGAGAATTGGTGGCTCAGTAGTTAGCACTGTTGCCTCACAGCACCAGGGACCTCGGTTCAATTCCAGGCTCGGACAGCTGTCTGTGTGGAGTTTTGCACGTTCTTCCCATGCCTGCGTAGGTTTCCTCTGGGTGCTCTGGTTTCCTCCTACAGTCCACAGATATGCAGGCTAGGTGGATTGACCATGCTAAATTGCCCATAGTGTCTAGGGATGTACAGACTAAGTGGATTAGCCATGGGAAATGCAGGGTTACAGGGATAGGGTAGGGGCTGTGGGTCTGAGTGGGATGCTCTTTGAGTATTTGATGGGCTGAATGGTCTGCTTCCACACTATAATTCTAAGAATTCAATTTTTGTAACTTGAAAACAAGTTGGCACCACTGCAAAGTAAATGTGAATTAATAGATACATTGCATGCAGAATAGCAGCTACAAAAAGGCTATCTCCTAGCATGAGTAGGCAATTGACCCCCCAGGTCTAGCCCGAGTTTCATCCAGACAGTTGTTCCAAGTAGCATTCTACTTTCTCCTCTTCAAGGAGTTTGTGGATTCTTCGCAGGTAAAATTTAAAAATCTGTACTTCTTTTATCTTTGACGCACACAGAACGTAGAGGCAATGAGTCTCAGTACTTTACCTTCCATAATGATGGCACTGCTACCATATCAAAGGTTCCCAGATTGCACGGGCCCATTCTTTTTATCAAAAATCACAATTTATTCCTTTAGCACTAATACAACCTCTTGAAAAAGGACTTCTAAACATTCCCAAAAAAAAATTCCCACACATTTTAAAGTAACTGCGAATCTCAAGTTGAGTTCTGAATAGTATTTCTTCAAATCTATTACACTCAGAGTCATCCCTTCAGGAAAATTTGCTAGGATGAAAATGTTTAAAGGATTCTCATCATTTGCAAATGGCTCTTTTGATTAACAGTTTGAGTTCATATATTTTGCATGCTAGAGAATTATCTGTTGGTGGTAACTTCTAATAATTCCCCTCCAGTAACGAGCAAAGGTGTGAAAAGTACCAGTGAAACTATAACGTACTTGGGTGAGCAAAGCACATTTCAAGAAGTTGAATCCTGCTGTCCATGTTAATATTTTTTGGGGACTCCTGGAATTAAAAGATGCTATATTTTTATTGGTTACCTCATTGCACACTCTGAAAGCTGGTTCCATCCTTCTGGATTCTATTACTTCTAATCTAAGAGGTCCAGTTAGGGCTGTTTAATGGAAATGCATTGATTCAGATATATAAGTTGAGAGAAACCTTTTAGGAAGGCTGGCTTGTAGTTTAGGAATGGTTGAGTTATGTATCCTGTTGTTGCATTCTTATGTGCACACTGAAATTTTTTGAAATCATCTGCTAATATTTCTAAAATACTTTACAGAATATAATTAACTGTTGCATTTATAGGTTTGGCCAATTGGGCGAGAAGTCAACTGCAAGTGTTTGAAGACACTTGCTGTGTCAAATGATCGAAGCATATGCCTCCAACCAAGACTGCAGTTTGATGGCAAGCACATTGTTTGCGCGTCTGATCTAGGATTGTACCAGTGGGACTTTGCCAGTTATGATATTATTAGGTATTGTTCAGTTGTTTCATTTGTCAAGATTATCAAAAACATTTGTAATGAAAACTTTACTGTCTCAGCATGGGCATGTATTGGTTATATTGTTCGATAACCAACATGTGAATTCAATAAATCTGCATTGTGGCCCTGTACGAGAGAAATTAACAAATAGTTCTTTGGTACAGAATGTGAGTATTGCTGAAAAAAATACATATTTTGTTGAAGCTTCTCATCATGACTCATTAGGGTAATTGGCAAGGAATACAAGCGTAAAGGGAAAACAACCTTTTTTTATACTGTATGAATGAGAAGATTAATTGGCAAGAGTGTTAGATCCTGATTGTTAGAGGTGTTGCCATGGGGAATGCACCAAATGGATGATTGACAGTTAACTGCCAAATTTGCTTAAACTTAACTAAACACATTGACTCTGATCAAGGCATTGGCCTGAAAATGAACCAGTGATAAGTATTAATCTATTTTGTTGAGTTGAAATGAGTCCAGTGTATGTCTCTAAAGAACAGGGCTGTGTGTGTTAATATATGTATTTTTCAGTAAGTGCAAATATATCGTACTGTGGGCCTGACTGAGGTTGGTGTAATTCTTGGTACAAAAAAGAAACCGAAAGAACTGTGGATACCTTATCAGACAAACAATTTGCTGGAAAATCTCATCAAGTCTGGCAACATCTGCAGAGAGATAGCAGTTTTGGGTTCAGTCACTCCTCTTCAGAATTGATGGTGGGTAGGAAAAGGTTGGTATTTATGCAGAAGATAGGGTGGTAGTGGTGCTGAGGGGTGAAGGGGTAACTATAGGAGGAGATAGAGCCCAAAGAGAGAGAAACAGCTGGACAGACAAAGGAGTGGGTAAAAGTCAGTCTGGGGGAATAAATAGCTGCAAATGGGGACGACTAGCAGTTGACAATGGGTTGTGGGCAGTAGCAGCCCATGTGATGACCAGGTCTGCTGTGTGGAGGTTGGGCTAAGGACAAGGGAGCAGGTGCCTCCAGCCCTAAAATTGTTAATCTTGATATTAAGTCCAGAAGGTTGCTGATTTCCCAAGCAGAGACAGGTGTTGGCTAGGGAACACAGTGGTGTCCTGCACAGCATTCAATCTAATCTACTGTATTCGCTGCTCATAATATGGTCTCCTCTACACTGGGGAAATGAAGCACTGACCAGATGACTGCTTTACAGAGCAGCTATGTTCTGACAAACAAAAATCACCCTGAGCTTCCGGTTGCCTGAGACTGCAACACATCAGTGTTCCCTGTTCAACATCTCTGTCTCGGACTTGCTGCAGTGTTCCAGCAAAGCTCCACGCAAACTGGAAGGACCGCACCTCGTTTTCTGCTTGAGAACTCAGCAGCCTCCTGGACTTGATATCAAGTCCAACAATTTTAGGCCTTGAGGCACTTGCCTTAGTATCTACTTATGTGACGTGGTGTCAAATATTTTTTGGATATGCTGTGGGACATATCCCTGCCTGACACGTGTTATATAAATGCACATTGATAATTGCCATTCAACATAAGAATCTACTGAATTGTCAATTTGCCTGTTTCCTTTTAGACCTTTTGGAGAAATTCAAGTGTTAATTGATTTTTTTTCATTGTGTTAAAATCAGCATTTAGAATACAGCTTTACTTATTTGTATTTTTTTCTTCAGAGTTATTAGAACTCCGGATTCCTCGAACCTTTCCTTGCTGAGCCAGGGAGAAGTCTTTGCTCTGCTGTTTGATAGCCATTATCTGTACATAATGGACCTAAGGACAGAGAAACTGGTTGGTCGTTGGCCTCTACCTGCATACAGGAAATCTAAGAGAGGTTCAAGCTTCCTGGCAGGAGAAACAGCGTGGCTAAATGGACTCAATGGCAAGAATGACACAGGCCTGGTTTTTGCCACGAGCATGCCGGATCATAGTATTCATTTGGTCCTATGGAAGGAGAATGGATGAAATAAAGTATGAAAACTGTAAGGCATGGAGTGCTTGTGCTGCTGTTGCAGAGGATATTTCAGAGAATGCCAAATGCTGCATGAACCAAAGTCCTGCACAAGACCTGGCATTCTCGTGTGTACAGTACAGTTAATTGCCTTTTTTTTTTTAAAATGTCAAATGACACCAGCATGTTGGAAATTATTTTTACAGCTTAAATCCATTTGCTTGCGAATTGATGTAACCAATGCAGGAACAGGGAAGAGAGAACACACGTATCAATTTAATTTTGAGGCACTGTTTAGGAATTTATTTTGAGCTGATGGTTGAAAATTATGCTTGACAAGCACATTTCAATGTAACAGATTTATTGTTTGCAGTATTCTGAACATTCCCTGAATGTCTTCATTTCTTCTGCACCTGACAATATGGAATATCTTACCTTTTATATATACATATATATAATATATATGTATATACATATATATAAAATATTTCCATTCAGGACTTTGCCTTAATGCTTTTAGTAGTGGTTGCTCTCAAAGAACATGTTTGTAGACCGTAGGTAGGTACTTCAAATTTGTCCACATTTTATATTTTGGTATAGTCAGTATTTACAATGATATTTTTATTGAAATTTGCCCATGTTGTCACAGTTGTTAATTATCTTCAATATATTCTTTCTGAAAACAAGAGTTGGAAATTTACTTGGTTGCTTTGCTCATTGCAAGTCTAAACATGGAACCTTTATTACAAAATACTGTAATGAAGAAGATATTGACCTTTGCACTTCAGTTTGCTAGACACTACTTAAGCTGTTTTCGTTTTCTATTAAGACTTGGGGTGATAGATTAAAGTGGGAAAAGAGACTGGGTTGACCACTCCCCCTCTGCCTCCCATAAGACATGGTCATCTGCAAACCTGGTCATCAATGTTGAGATCATAAGCTGCTGTACAGCTTTCAGTCAAGAGGTTTGCTATCCATACTGCTTAAATAGGAACAGGATTAGGCTGTTCTGCCATTCAGTGAGATTATGGCTTATCTGTATCTGCTTTGGCTTTATCCCTGCTCAGATGGAACTACTGTGCTCCTGCCCAAGAGGAAGTTGTGAGTATGATTTTTAAATGTTATAGACTGTGGGCAGAGCAATCACTGTATGTATTATATAGTTTTTAAACGCAGGAGAGAACATTTTTTAAAAAGTCTTTTAATGTGCTTGTCTCTGTCAGGTCAGTAATTACAATTGTTCCATGGTGATCCTTAAATTACACCCCAGTGGTAATATTTGTTGAAGAATTGCACAGGTGTATGCAACTTGTTTTGAATCTGTGGATTTCTTCTTGAGGAATAGGCGCAGCTTTCGCTGAGAAATAACAAGAAATGAATAAGAAATCATCTGTTCCTTTTATTATATGTAAAATAGTGAAGATTTTTATTTTTAGAAGTCAACAAAATGAAAAATATGACTGAACTGTAAATTATAAAGTTGTAATAACAGAGTTGTGAACAGGTACTTTCTTCGTACTTCTGAAGGATGGATACTTTCCCCTCCTTATGCATGTAAAACCAAAATAACAGAGCAGGTCTAATGAAGAGGTCCCCTTTAGTTATGCTGTATACCGTATCTTAAAAGCATCTGCTACCAAAATGTTGCAAATTTTATTTCTTGTGGTGTCATCTGTATTTGGAATGTAATGTGTTCTGATCCTGAGACACTTTTTTTTGATTGCAACTTGTGGAATAGATCGACGTCTGCAATTTTAAAAGTATGAGGACAGTGTAAAGTTCCTGGCTTCACGTGACAACTACAATATTCACTTTCCTTCCATCTTTGGTTTGAATGTATTGAGTATTATTTGCTTGTAGACTGTGTTTCTTTAAGAAACTTTTAACCTCACATCAACAGATTAACCTCTTGCTGTCTGCCATAACCTCAGACTATCTGACACACATGCAATAATACATTTGTCTAAGGAAGTGAAACATTTTGGTTTTTCTATGCAGCCTCTATGTTTATGTTTAATTTTGCAGTTTGTCATTCGTATTTCAAAATCTAATATTTGTTTAATAATGTGAGGGATGAAAGCGTTTAGTCAGCTTTTTCAAAATGCAGCTGACTGTCAAATGTGCAATTACCTGTTAAGTTTTTGCTGGTATTTTTGTTTAGAGATGCCGAAATGTCGTCATGGTAATGTCAAATGTTCACTGGAGTGGCCAAAGATTTACGCCGAGGTTGTTCAGTTTTATCTTTGCATATAGATATACAGTAGCTATGTGGTTTGATTCCCAGAATGACAATGAGGTAAATTCTTCTTCTGAAGTATTATTTGTTTTGAAATCTGTTGGTTTGGCTGTAACAATGATATAATTTGAAGTAAAATCATCCTATTTATCCATATGATGACTGGCAGTGACGTGTAAACCACAAGGTGTACATTTTTCTCTTTCTCTTCCTCTTCCCCACCCCTCCCCCTCTTCCTCCCTTGACCTCCAGTACCTACAAGAATTCCCTACAAATGGTGTGTTTGAAATCCTGAAAGACCTCCAAGTAAGTAACAGCATTTGAACATTATTCCTATTTGAACGGAAATGTAAACATCCATGTGCCTTTACTTTCTTTTAAACTTTTACTCTGCAACCAGTTATCATTGGCTCAGCATTTCGAAGCTTCATATTGAATTCTGCAGAAAACAGGGGAGGCCAAAATGTGTATTCAAAAAAAAAGCGGCTCCCATCATTGATCTTAATTGAAAGAATAATGTTTGTGTCTGGGATGGTAGTATTTAAGTCAGCAAGCAAGAAATGTCAAGGATATGGCTACTTAATTTTGCCACGTAGTAATTTTAGTGCACGGGTTTAATTAGCAGGTGTGAAAAATGATGTGAATTATGAACCATTTATCTTAATTCCTGCAAATATCTATTAAGTTTGACAAATGGGAAGAGTGCACTGATGTGAATGACTCTTGGGAGACTGTTACACTCATAATTCCTGGACATGTTTTATAAGCAACTCCTCACTATTCACGTGCCAATAATTGCAGCAGAAATATATGTGGAAGATGAGAAGCTATCTTTAGTGTAAAATGTAGGGACAGAAATAGGCCATTCAGCCCATCACGTCTACTCTACCATCAAATGGGATCATGGCTGATCTGATAATCCTGAACTCCACTTTCTGGCCTTTTACTTTAAAACCTTTGATTCTCTTACTGATTTAAAACTCGATCCGTCTCAGCCTTCAATGTAATTAATGATCTGGCCACTGCTGCCCTCTATGGTAAAGAATTTGACTACCCTCAAAGAAGAAATTATTCCTCATATCCCTTAAGTGTGCTAACCTTTATTCTGAGATTATGCCCTCCGGTCCTGGACTCTTCCACATGAGAAGACACCCTTTCTGCATCTGCTCTTCAAGTCCCCTAAGAATCTGTATGTTCCAATATGGCCACCTCTCATTTTACTAAATTCCAATGAGTGCAGGTCCAGCCTACTCAACCTCTCCTTGTGAGTCAATCCCTCCAAACTTGGTTCAGCCTAGTCCATTTATTTAACCTGACTAATATCCCTCTGCCTTGCCTTCCCACAATTTTTGTCATCTGAAAATCTGGCTACAGTACATTTTACTCCTTCAAGTCATTCATATATATTGTTCATAATTGTGGCCCCAGCACTGGTCCTTGTGGCACTCCTCTTGTTTACAGGTTGCCATCCTGAAAATGCCCCCCTAGTGCCAACTGTCTTGTTAGTTCAGGAATCATCTATTCATGGTATATGCTACCCCCAGCATCATGGGCTGCTACCTTATTAAGCCTACTATGTGGTACCTTTTCAAACGCCACGTAAAAATCCAAATATATTACATATACGGCTTCTCCTTTATTCTCCCTGTTACATCCTCAAAGAATTCTAGAAAATTTGTCAGGCATGATTTCCCTTCATGTAGTCAGTCATGCTAACTCTGCTTAATTTTATATTATGTATTTCTAAATGCTCAGTTACAATCTTTATAACTAACTCTAATGTTTTCCCAATAACTAACATTGTTAACTAGCCTTTAGTCACCTGTTGTGTTTTTTTAATCTTCCCTTTTTTAACTAAGGTATTATGGTAATTTTCCAATCATTTGGGACTTTTCCTTAGATTCTGGTAGACTATTATTGGTGCATCCACTATCTCTGTAGCTAGCTTTTTTTTTATTCACTGATGGGACATGGGCATCACTGGTTGACCAGCAATTTATTGCCCATCTCTCATTACCCCCGAGAAGGTAATGGTGAGCTGCCCTCTTGAACTGCTGCAGACCACATGCTGTAGGTTAACCCAAAATGCCATTAGTGAAGCAATTCTAGGATTGTGACCCAGTGACAGTGAAGAAACGGCAATATATTTCCAAGTCAGGATGGTGAGTGGTTTGGAGGGAACTTGCAGGAGGTGGTGTTCCCTTTTATTCTACTGCCCTTGTCCTTCTAGATAGAGGCAGTTGTGAGTTTGGAATGTGCTGTTTAAGGATCTTTGACTTTAATATCCTAGGATGCATCTTATCAGGTCCAGGTGACTTAACTGTCTTTAGCTCTATTAGTTTCTCTAGCACTTTTTCCTCTAGTGATAGATATTAATTAGTTTCCTCTCCTCCATGTGCCCTTGATTACACTGATATTCCAAAATTATTAAATATCCTACTGTGAAGACTGTTCCAAAGTATTTATTTGACTCCTGTGCCATTTTTTGGTTCCCCATTATTATTTCCCCAGCCATTCTCTAAGGAGCCCATGTTCACTTTGAGTTTTCTCTGCCTTTTTAAAGCAGCTGTTGCTGTTTGTCCTGATGCTACTTGCAAGTTTGCCATCAAAATTTACTTTCTCCTTCTTTTCACTTTATTTTTATCCTCTTTTGTTGAATTTTAAAGCTTTTCCAATCTTTGCCACATTGTATATTTTTTATTTCCCAATTTGAAGTCATCTTGGTTAACCATGGTTGGCTTATCCTCTTCCTACTTTTTCACTGGCATATATCTTTACTGTGAGCCATGAAATATTTTCTTAAACATATTTCATTGTTTCTTAACTATTTCTGCTGCTAACCTCCATTCCTCGTCCACTCTAGCTAGCTTTGCCCTCATTCCTTTATTATCACGCTAATTTTAATCTTAACACAATTGTTTGTGATTCAAGTTCCTCCTCCTCAAACTGAATGCTAAATTCTGCTAGTTTATGGTCACTGTTTCCTAGGGTGCCTTTTATTCTGACATCATATATTAAACATTACATATCATCAGATCCAAAATAATCTGATCCCCGATTAGATCGACAACATATTGTTCTAAGAAGTAGTCCCAGACGTTCTGTGCTGTCCGACAGTGTTGTCTTTTCCTTTCTCATTTCTTACCTCCACCCATATGGATTCTGCGTCTTCTGATACAAGATCACTTCTTGCTATTGTACTACTATCATCCCACGCCAACAATGCCACCCCACTACTTTCCTTCCTGCTTGCCCTTTCAAAAAGTTGCACATCTGAATGTTTAGTTCCCAGCTTCAATCTCATCGTAACCATGTCTCTGTAATGACTGTAAAGCCGTACTTGTTAACCTCTATTTGTGCTGTTCATTCATTTTATTTTGTCTGAATACTGTATGCATTTAAATAAAGATCTGTTAATTTTTCCTTTTTAACCACTTTCACTCCTCTTGACTCTTACTGCTGTTTTTCAATGTGTAGATTTCAAAATATAATCAGTGAAGTATGCTTCAGCTCTTTATTATGGCAGAGCTAATTTTGATTTTCATAAGCAGTGAATAGGCAAAATTGATGATGGCGTGCTGACGAGTTAAAAATCCATCCCCCTCACTCTTTTTTCAGGTTGGAATGTGGACATAGAGTTTAAAAGCACGTGAAGGGACCCTTCAGCTCATTGTGTCTGCACCAGTCTTCAAGTATCTGTCTACTCTAACCCCACTTTCCAGCACTTGGTCTACAGCCTTGCAGTTCAAGTATTCATCTAGATGAGGTTGCAGACTTGCTCGCTGAGTCAGTTTGTTTGTTTGCAGATGTTTCGTCACCCTGCTAGGTAACATCGTCAGTGCACCTCCAGTGAAGCATTGGTGTTCTGTCCCACTTGTTATTTATATGCCTCGGTTTGCTGGGGTGGTTGGTATTACTTTCCGGTTCTGTTCAGTGGTTTGTATATCGGGTCCAGTTCAATGTGTTTGTTGATGGAGTTCCGGTTGGAATGCCAGGCTTCCAGGAATTCCCTGGCATGTCTCTGTTTGGCTTGTGCTTTTATGGATGTGTTGTTCCAGTCGAATTTGTGTCCTTCTTTGTCCGTGTGTACTGACACCAGTGAGAATTGGTCGTTTCTCTTGGTGGCTGGTTGGTGTTCATGTATCCTTATTGTCAGTTTTCTTCTAGTTTGGCCTTTTTAATGTTTCTCATAGTCCTTACATGGTACTTTGTATATTACATTAGCTGTGTTGGTTGTGGATATGGGATCCTTTATGTTCGTCAGTAGCTGTTGCAGAGTGGTTGTTGGTTTGTGGGCTACCCTGATACCTAGGGCTTTGGGTAGTCTTGTGGTCATCTCTGATATGTCCCTGATTTACGGTAGGGTGACCAGCGTGTCTGGCCGTGTTATCGTCTTGTTGTGATCTGTCACGGAGGTAATAGCAGCTTGTGCTTTTTGGGTATCCATTCCTTTTAAAAACTCTGTATAAATGCTCCTGTTTCATTTTGCGCAATTTTGGGTTTGAATAATGTCCTGATGCAGTTCTGTTTATGGGTGTTTGGGGTGGTTGCTGGTGTAATTAAGTATCTGGTCTGTATGTGTCGTTTTTCTGCGTATGCTAGTCTGGAGTTCCACCATTACATCTATGAAGGGTAGTTGGTTGTTGTTTCTTCCTCTTTTTGTGAATTTTATTCCGATGAGGATGATGTTTGTCAGTGGATTTCTTCTAGTCTTGTGCGTTTGATAATCATGAAGGTGTCATCTACATAGTGGACCCAGAGTTTGGGTGGGATAGCGGGGACCGTTGTCCGTTATAGCAGGGTGATGAAATGTCTGCAATTGAACACACTGGCTCGGCGAGTAAGTCTACAACCTCATCCACAACCCGAGCTACAAATCCTCTCAAAAAGTTCATCTAGATACTTGAATGTTGTGAGGGTTCCTATTTCTATCAGCCTTTCAGGCAATGAGTTCGAGATACTCTGCACCTTCTGGGTTTAAAAAAAGTTTCCTTAAAACCCCTCTACTGCTCCTGCCCTCAAATGTATGCCCGTGATTATTGACCTCTGTGCTGGGGGGAGACAACCTTCCTATGTATCCTATCCATGCCCCTTATTTTGTATGCCTCAATTAGACCTACAGTTCACCTTCTCACTCTAAGGAAACCATGAAGCTTCTTCAAGTCTGCTGGCACTAATGTAATATAAAAATGTCCTTCTGGCAAATTTAAACTCAAGACCTAATCTGAAAGTTTGACCTAGAATTTGCAATGCTACATCTAGATGGCAGAAAGGCAGCAAACTGAGACACCGTGCAAAAGCAAATGCCCATTTTTGAAATATTCTTTTTTTTTTTTTCCCCAATCCACATTCTCTATTTCCCTCGACTTCTTGGTTTGCTGCAGTCCACATAATGTAGATGCACTGACAGCACTATTCGCAAGGTTTTCACCCAGTGACCAAGAGGGAGTAGAAATGTTGGGGGTGGTGGGGGATGTCTGCTGAACTTTAAACTGGTAGTGCACCAATGCATCTATCACCAAGAAAAACAAAGGGAGAAAAGGTCGTACCTTTGGAAATTACAGCAAAAAATGACTTGTGTGTTGCTGCTGTGCTTCTTCTAGATGGTGCACACTAATCAGTGGTGGTGGGAATGAATGTTTAAAAGTGTTTTTTTTAAGCTTTTTGGATAGACGTTCAACCACATTCATGTGACAGTATTCCATCATACTCCTGACTTATCTTGTAAATGCTGGACAGGCTTTGAGTCAGATGGTGAGTTACTTGCCACAGAATTCTCAGCCTCTAACCTGCTTTCATAGCTGCAGTGTTTTATATAGTTGGTCGAGTCCAGTTTCTGCTGACCTTCTGTTAAAAACCCTTAGAAACAAACTTTATCTACTGGGGACATGGGCATTCTGTTTCTTTTTGGAAAAAAACATGTTGCTTAAGATTTACCTTGTGTTGTCACAGTGGAAGTTTTAATATGTGATGATCATGCGACTGAACATGAAGGGGAGGTGGGTAGACAGCTTGTAGTGCATATGTTACTTATCAGGTCTTGCTATATATGGTAATGACTGTATTGAACATTATTGAATATGCCAACTCTGTATGATGGAGGGAAGGTTGTTGAAGCAGCTGAAGACAATTGGGACTTGGACACAACCACTGCATCAGAAGGATTCTTCACTTTAGGGTAGTGTCTCTACTTCTGAACCAAGAGGCCTGGGTTCAAGTCCTACCTGCTCCAGAGATGTGTCATAGCATCTCCGAATAGATTTAAAAAAAAAAAATCTATCCTACACTGATAATTGCTGCAGTTCAATCGTCTTCCTGTGTGCTATTTTGACTCCTGCCAGTGGAGATTTTTTTTTTCCCTGCCACTGCCTTCAAATTTATTAGTGCTTTTTGATGCCATATTTGTACAAGTGTTGCCTTGATGTTAGGAAAACCATTCTCCCCACACCTCTAGAATATGGATATTCTGGCCATGTTTGAACCAAAATCGTACTGAGGTCTGGGGCTAAAGAGTACTGAAGAAGATTAAACGAGGCATCAAGTCCTACAAATAAAATAACCATAAAATCTCAGCATGTTCACTTCTTCAGAATAGCTGTTGGAAGCCTTCAGGTATTTCATGTAATTTTGCTGTTGTATATGTGCTTTCTGAAATTCTTATAGAAGTGTACAGAAAAGAGGTTGTTTAAAAAATATAGTGAAAACCAATGTTCGCAGGTGGAGGTTATGGCAGTATTGCATTTCAGAAAACCAGGATGCCGATTTTCAGAAGTGAATGCTGTTTAGCAAACACTGGTGTACAACATGAATTCAAGACGTAACCAGAAACTTCTAACCATTTAATGGCTACCTTTTAAGGAGCACACAGAAGTATGTTGTTGTCGATTACTGATTAAATTATTCTTCCTTTTTGACTTGTGGCTGAAGTTTTTTTTAAGGGAAGATGAATTTAAGAATTTATTGCCCAAACTGTGTGTGGTGCCTCTTGATATTTTAAATTCAAACTATGAAAGATGTTAACGGGGCTTATCCAATAGAGCGGCATTCCTTCAATACTGTATTGGTCTAGATTGTGTGTGTAAACAGAGTGCCATTTGAACATATGATCTTCAGACAGCACAGTGCTATAACCTAAGCCACTGCTGAAACCTTCCTTTTCCTGATCTTCCAATCCACTTGTTTGATTTGTAGTAATATGACTTCATCCATGAAGCAAAATTACTTGAACATTTCACCAAGCTTGTGCTATGAAAGACACTGAGTTGCTGCCAACCATTCAGAGTAATGCACTTTTTTTAAAATAGCAATTTGTTTATTGAGTAAGTGAAACTGCGTCATCAATGTAACAAGCTGACAAAACAGCAACTTGATACAAGCCTGAGGTAACAAATAATTTAGCTAAGAACATCCATTTGGGGCTGTCTGAGTTCAGTGGTTTAAACAGATTAAGCTCAGCAGTTGTAAAAAGAAACACTAACACACGTGCCATGCGAGTAACCTTCCTCTGTTACCATATTTTCTTTTGGAGCTGTATGAAAATCTACAATTTACATCTACATGTAAAAACTCAATAGCAACACCTGTTGATCCAGCACTTTGATCAACTAAATAAATGTGCCTTTTTATTAGCACTTTAGAGATTGAACCCATTGCGTTCAAGCAAACCGATAGTTAGTTATTATGTGCATTTTGATCAATACTCGTGTTACATTTGATGATTATAATTGTGCATTGCGTCCAATGTGAATTCATTTGTACAGTTATAGTGCAGTTTGTGAACTCTCACCACGCATTCTCTGGCTGCTTGCTGACAGGAGTGTCATGAAGGCAGCCAATAGCAATCTACTGCACAGTGAATTTGAGACAAATAAACATTTGGTACAAGTGCATAAAATGATGCAGCTTGGCGCAATGAGAAAATTAATTTCTGTAGGGTAGTTGAATTGTGCAACAGAAGCTGTCAATTTAAAAAAAAAAAAAAAATTCTCATTTTGCTAAAACAGCCATTATGGTGCTGTTCCTTCAGATGGTTCCCTACAGCATGAAAACAGACCATTTGGCCCAACAAGTCCACCCTGACCCTCCAAAGATCATCCCACCAAGACCGATTTTTTTTTCCCCCTTACCCTCCATTTCCCATGACTAACATACACACCCTGGATCATGATGGGCAATTTAGCATGGCCAATCTATCTAACTCACACATCTTTGGACTGTGCAAGGAAACCCAAGCACCTGGCAGAAACCCACAGCGAGAATGTGCAAACTCCACACTGGCAGTCACCTGAGGATGGGATTGAACCTGTGTTCCTGGCACCATTACTAACCACTGAGCGACTTGCTGTCCTCTCCATGTTAGACTGTAGTTTGTATGCCGAAGGGCTTCATGTATTGTACCAATACATAGATAAATTGCAGCACTATCTGCATTTAAAATGGGCATGAGGGTAAAGATGGGGAATTGGGAGACAGGGCATGTTGTCTTTAAGCATGGTTTGTGTTTTATTTCTGTAGTCATGATTTTCCCAACCAGCAATATCTTGTGCACTTCTGTACATTTCTATATTAAGTAATGAATGCCAGGCACACTGCCAGCCTTTGAATTAGGCTTGGGCATCTTCCCTATAAATAAGCTGCCACATGTAATTCTTGTGTGATAGTACTCTTAAAGTGGACTGGCCTTGGCGTTGTGTGGGTACCATTAATGCTGAGCTGATTTCATTTGACATTTTTTCCTACAACATTGCCAGGTATATTGCTAGTGTACACTTGAGGCATGTTATTGGACTGAGGAAATGAAAATTGTCCATCTCAAACTCAGACATGAAACAAAATAATACTGATTGCAGATTTACTCAAACTGGAATTGAGACACGTTTATGTGTGTTGGAGGGGTCTATGAGGAATAGAGAAGAAGAGAACTTATTACTCTAAATTTGCACCTTGTGACTTATTAAAGTTTAATACAGAGGCTGGAAATTAAATGGATCAAGCTACACTGCCCCTCATATGCAGACTTCATAGTTGAAGATATAAAGTAAAATGTGGCTATGACATCTGCAGGATGGATATATTTAGTGCTAGGTAGTAGATTTTTTTTTTTGAACATTGTTTACTATTTACTATCTTGTGCTTTTGGAAGTTGCTGATCTACAGAAATCAGCCACGACCTGCATCCCAGTTTCAACAGAGCAGGAAATGTGGACAATTCATTTACTACAGTATCTGTGTACTAGCTTTCACTGATGCAAAGTACATCACCAGTATAAGTAAGATTACATGCAATATCTGTGGGTTATGCAACACAGGTTCTGTTAATGTGGTTTTGGTTTGACATTATTTGTAGCTGGAGTTTCAAGATTAAGCACTGCACTACTCCGGTGATATTCCCCTTACTTACTCCAGAAGCCCTAATAGTAAATTAAGGATAACTTGCATTCCAGCATTCTCACCTGTAAGGAAACACCTAGTCCTAGTTCAGTTCCTTCAAAGTACAAATTCTGGTTGAGCTATGGTTTAGTGTCCCCAACCAACATCTTCCCTCATTGTGGAACAGCAAAATGACTGCATATTTTAATACCATACAGTGCTAAATTATGAACCTTAATTAGTTTTCTTTCTATGAAAAAACATGCTGACTTTGGCACAGAAAATCTGAACAATCAACTTTTTAAAACAAAAAATTTCACTACAGATGTTGCAAATTAGCCTGAATTACTATTACCAAAAGTTCTGTTGCCTGCCTGTGAGAACAGAGGGTTAAATTTGAACCAACCCAGCTACTTTAGATTGTCCAGCAGATAGTTAAAAATAAATTAATCCAATGTTGCCAAAACAGAATACATTTTATGTGGAAACCGTGAGACACAAAGACACAATGACAGCAAATATTTTAAAAGTTAACACATCTTGAAGGCTTAGATAAATGTTGGGACTCGAATTCATAGTCTTTGATGAACCTTGCTTCTGCTGTACATTAACTACTATATGCAACTCTTTAAATAATACACAACAAAAGAGGGTTGTCATACATTATATACTTATTGCAACAGTTATGCAAAAGTCACTTAAATAGTTTAGAAAACTGAAGACTTTTGCAAAGAATTGCTAGAATCAAGTAGCATAGCAAAATAAATGAACATTATCCAAACACATTTAATTTGATTTGTAAACCATATTATAACTGGCATAATGTGATGGTGTAAAGCACACGTCTGGCACAATAAAGCAGTCATTATTGATTGGTGCATAATGGTTTCTTTACCTGGCTGTGCTGTTTGTACAGAATCCACCTTCGCACTCTGCAGTGCTCCAATGAATCGCGTAGTGGCCAGGTAGCGAGTTCTACTGCTAAAGACCTTGGACCAGCATAAACATCCTCAAATTGAAAATACTGCCTGGCATAGGATAAGGTGGGTGGCAGTGTTAATGAAAATATTCAGTTGGGACAGTTTTATTTTGGGGAGGGGAGCAAAGGGAAGAGATAAAAATAAATTGGTTTGGGATAGGCAGGAACTATGAGGTTTGCTCAAATGTCACGATAGATTCAAACTCCACTAGGTGAAGGTCGCTGGAACCATGAGATTACTATCACCGCCACAGACAACTTTGAGGCAATCACTGTGCCAAACAATTCAGTGCACTTCATTACAAAAAAAAACTCTGTTCACTGATTTACTATTCTAAACGCCACTCAATGCAGCCTGTTAACACTGTCAGTAGTACATTTTGTGCATAAGAAAGATAATACCCAACATGGGCTAAAAATTGTTCCATTACAATAAAGCAGCTTAAGAATAAAAACAAACATTAAAAAAAAATATAGGCAGCAGTTATTACGCACAGTTCCACGGTCGACAACTATTTGTGGTATAGTCAGGTTGTAGTTTCGCCAGTGCTAAAACTGTGTCTAATGTCTGCGGCTGATACCATAAATTAGGAACAGTCGTTAACTTCCTCTTTCAAGACATACCAAAATCATTTTAGGGTCGCATCATAAGCTTCAAAAAAAAGTGCTTCAGTTTTCAACGCTGACAATTGATGCACAAATTTGTCCTCATAAGATCTGTTTTTTCCTTCACTTTTTTTTAAAATCCATTCGATAGTTTTATTTCCCATTGCTTGGGTTGGCACTTTGATCACATCACATGTACTGGATTCAAATGTTCACTCAAATGACATAAGGTTGGTTGGTATCTGAAAGTAGACGAGAAGGAAACACAAAGTCAAAAGCCATCTGTGGTTATAAGAACATGAGAATCAAAAGCACAAGTAAGCCATTTCGCCCCCTTGAGCTAGCTCTGTCCTTAACTCCGCTCTTTCTGCTTGTTCCCCCGTAACCTTCACTTCCCTTGTCCATCAAAATCTCTCAACTCAGCCTTGAAAAAAAATAAATGATCCAACCACTACAGCTCGCTGGAGGAGAGGTGACCTGACCAAAGCACTTCCTCTTCATAAATGGGAGACTTCCTTCTCTTAAAGAAAAAAAACTGTATTCCTTAATTGTAGATATCCCCACAGGGAGGAACATCCTGCCAGCATTCACTCTGAAGCCACCTCAGTATGTTTTCTGTTTCAATGAGATAAGCTCTCATTCTTGTAAATGTTGCCAAAGGGTCTGGAAAGACCTGAACAGGTTACCACTTGATTGAGTGCAAGAAACACAGCCACCTTCTGGTCTAACACGTAGAGTCTTATAGAATAAACAAGATGTAGTTTGTTACATCTCTGCACTATTTACAAGTTATAAGAAAAGTCTGTCTCCTATGAAATCCTACTTCAATCTCCATTTCATAGGAGACAGACTTTTCTTATAACTTGTAAATAGTGCAGAGATATAACAAACTACATCTTGTTTATTCTATAAGACTCTACGTGTTAGACCAGAAGGTGGCTACCTTCACACTGTAGAGTATTGCAGGATAAACTGACATTTGTCATTTGACAAGGTCTTTATCCAAAGGATCAGCTGAGTGAGCATTCGCTGAAGTGGCTCCAATGCAAGAATACACTTCCTTAAAGGTGGTGTGCAAAACTGTGCACAGGACTCTGTGGTTTTACCAATGCCCTGTACAGTTGTAGCAAGACTTACATACTTTTGTATTCCATTCCTCTCACAATCAAGGCTAACATTCCACTTGCCTTCCTAAGTGCTCATTGTCCTTGCATGCTGACATTTTGGTGTACAAGGACACTCAGAGCCATCTTGTTCTACAGTATTCTGCGCTGTCTCCCGACAACATGCCAGTTACATGATTGCACCATCCCCTGGAGAAACCTGGATCCATGGAAGATTGCGTTAACATAAATGAGTCACCAGGCGTCCGCTGCCTGAGGGAAAACAGTGGCAATCTCAAAATGGGTGCAGTGACCGTGTCTGTCATGGGAGCTGCTATTTCATCCATAGCTAGTAATGTAACTTTGATACTACTGGACTTGCTCATCTTGTCAACTGAAGGAGGGTAACAGAAGGACTAAAGGAGGGTAACACCCAAAACATTGACTGCTCCTTTCCACCAGATGCTGCCTGGTTTGCTGTGTTCTTCCAGCCTCCTGATTATCTACCTTGGATTCCAGCATGTGCAGTTTTTTTTGTCTCTTACCAATTTTTACCACTGCAAAGTCTCTTCAAAGGATGTCTGCTTTGAAGAAGTTCTCTGCCTCCCTCAGACATGAACTCAGTGAGTCCCTTTCTCACAGCTACACTGCTGTAACCTCTTCAGCCCTTCATCTCTTTGACCACAGCATGAAACAAACTCACTACTACAGCCATGTGACCTTCCTCAGCTCCAGTCCTGAAGAAGGGTAACACCTGAAACATTGACTGCTGCTTTCCTTCAGATGCTGCCTGGCTTGCTGTGTTCTTCCAGCTTCCTGTTTGTCTCCCATGGTTTAAATGTTGTGAATTCGTCACAAATTTGTCCCCATATAAATTAGGTGGAAACAAAACTTGCATTCTCAAATCAAAGGAAATGATTTAATTTATTGTTTCTGGCAAGTGAAGTAATAACAGTTACATATACTGTTTTCCAACTTAATTGGAGACTTAATTTTAGACTAAAAACCAGGCCATTACTGTATTGAGATAATTAAACAGCCGCATTATTTCTCCGATGTCAATCTATCTTCACTTTAGAGATTTTTGACATGGATAGGATTATTAATAGTTGATGAGTGGAACTGATACATTCCAAAACATCTTTGCCTAGTTGATTTTTTAAAATTTTAACTAGATACATTCTCAAAATCCAAGTCTGAAACTGGGACCAAATGGTTTGGTACCAAGATTGTGCAGTCCTAAAACTATGAACTCTCCATGCTTCCCCCCACAACCTCCATCTCAGTCTCTGTGAAGGAAAGGAAAATTGCAAACTAACAAAATTGGGCACCAAATCGATCTTCCAGGTATTTGGTCATTATTTCAATGAGTAGGATACCACCTACTGCGAGAGTCAATGAGCAAAATAGGCAAAACAAAGATTAACAATCAAAACTGGAACAAATGCCTTGGTTTTAACTCCACCTACTTTGTAGAAACATGAGGAATTCACTTCAGTCATTTTCTGCCCTCTATCTGCACCACTACCTTTACATGTACAGCCAACAAGGTTATTCCACCCATGCCAGTGAAACCTCATTGTAAATGCAGGTCAAGCTCTGATGAAATCAGAGGGGACCGACCTATCATTTTAACCTGAGCCATGAGCAAGGGAACAGTGCTGACTTCTCCTTAATGCGGAAAGTGCTGGGCACAGCAGCCAGGGATGACAAGCTGTGTTTAATAATACAGATTTAACAAGCTTTGTGTAAGAGCTTTTCTTCATTTCTACAATTTAAAATGGTGGTTTCATTTTTTTGCCATTACCAGTGAGTACAATACTCACTTTGGATTGTCATACATCTTACCTGAGGCCGATTGCTTTTGCATGCATCATCCAAGTGCTTGTGCCACAATATTGCATGAAACCTCGAGCTGGTCTGGAACTTGTAAACATTACCTATAATGGAAAGGCAAATGTGTATTCACATTGGCAACAACTTGCAAATATACAGAGCTTTCAAGATGATAAAGTGACCTAAGTGTTTCACATGCAGTCAACAAATTCCAATCTTCAAAAATGAAGACCATTTGAGCATGAACTAATTCCCTGTGACTCAACAAGTGAAGCAAGTCACTCACCTTTCATAAATGCTATTGAACTGATTGAAAGAATGTCCTTTTGCTATGCAATCTTGGTAATAGCAGTGTATTGATCTAAACTGAATTGTTTCATTATCTATTGAGAAAACACTTCAATTTCAATATTCATTAATTCCAGTGAATCTTCAGCTTAGAACCGTATCCAATTTTTTTTTCATTGCTGATTTAATGGTGCACATTTTTATTTCCAAAATTTGATTGTCAAGACTCCCACAATACTCAATCCACCTGCCCTTTCTTCCCCTTACAATTTTGAAATAGCAATCAGTTTAAGGGTTAATGCTGTTCCATGCAACAGCTACTGATAATATTGGTACCCCAATCTCCAGTGTACAAACAGAAGCCTCTGGCCTATAAACCAAATGGCCAACCACTGGTATTTGTGCATTCTGTAAGTAAAACTTCCATTTCATCAAAAGAGTGAAGCGGAAGTTGCATTTCAGCTAAACATCTTCAGAGAGTTTCAAGGAAACTTTAAATAGGAGAAACTATCTACAAGTTCTCAGCTACTGACTAGACAATTAACCATCTCCACCGAGCAATTTCAGCCTGCTGACTCTACCTCTGGATTCCATCTTAAAAGGAAGGATATTATTAAACTGATATCCCTTAGTTATTTCGCACTTAAGTTGTTGCTCATTGCATAATCTCTTTCTCCTTTTTTTGACTTTGTCTCTCCATATATGTTTGTAAATATGTCAGTGTTGCAAAATATTCCCTGGTGCCTACTGGTATGTGAAATAAACCCTAGTCTAATGTTACAATAGTGTCATTGCGGTACTTATAAAGACGAGAATTCAGGGAGGGTGGGGGAAATTGTCCCCCACTGTTTCTTAAGGAAGAGGAAAAATTAAATCACTATCTGCGAATGGACTGGTCATGAGTATAGTGAGACAGATTTGTCTTAAAGCTCACAATCTCTCTGTAAACCAAACTCAGCTAAAATGTCATATGAAAATACATTAAAATGTCTGATTATATGAACAGTTTGGAGACTACCTCTGCCACTGTAGCATTGAGGCCGAGTTACTCAAGGACAGCTCCATACATAGGAAATTTGAGAGAACAGACCATCTTTCTCATTCTGCGCTCACCTTTATCAGGATCGCTTAACTGAAATATGTCTGGGTGCTCTGGGTCATCAGGTAGAACGACCATCCATCCTGCTATAGACACCTTCTTACTTGGCGATGATTTGAACTGTTCAAAAAATAAAGTACAGGTTATGAACAAATCAGAAATCTTAAGAAAATGACTCATTAAAGAGATAAAACGGTCAGGAGGTTTAGAAACTGCAAACGAAAGACACACCAACTGATCAATTGAGTCTATTGGTCATGATCCAGATATCCTGCTGACCAACGTCTTGCTGATTAAAGATACAATCGATTTTGCCAATTCACTTACAAGAAGTTTTCTTTGCTCTTCGTTAATCATTTGTTCATAGTCTGTGCAACGTTGGGAAAAGATTTGATTTAGATAAATGAAAATTACAGGTAAAAGATTTCCAGATTTATGAAACTCTGGCCAGATATGGGTTCTGTAAATAGACCAGCACGTTCTCAGTTGGAAAGCTAGTTAAAATAAAGCAACTTGCAAACAATCAAGAGCTGCTACCAGTCTGTCGATAGCCAAACAAAACATACAGAAGCATTTATTTCCTAATTTCCCCTCTGCTGATGCCTGCTCTGATTGTTGACTTATACATTCAGCTCCGCTTACAGATGTCTAAATCGAGTAAACCATGTGTTCTAGACATGTATAATCCCAGGAAACCATCAAATTGGTGCGCAGAATGGTACTAATTTAATAGCATAAACTGTTTTGCTGCTATTCCCGGTCACGCACCACAGTTGTTGTGCCTACACAAGTATCGACATATCTATTAGCTCTTTATGACTTTTGAGGTTTTTTTGGACAGATAGTGAATGTTAGAAAATATTCATATTAACCTACTGAGGTGTCCATTCAAGTGATCCACACAGACCTCCTGTTATTTGCTACAACTCTGGAACAGACCACAAAATTATGCTGAAAACTGCTTAGGGACCAGTAACTTTCGGGATGGAGCTCACTGAAACAATAACATATTCCATGGTTTTAAAGAAATAACAATAAACTTTACAAACAAACATTAGAACAGTAATACAATCTACAGTACATGTACAACTTATTTCCAATACCCAGAATCAACACATGATAAATTTGGGTAATATCGAATAATGCACATCAAATAGCAAATGTCATCAAGACAGAACCTGCAGATTTCTCAGCAATTCCTGCAGACATTAACAACACAGTGGGTCATCAAATCTTACCAATTTTCACAAGGAATAATATTTCTTCATTTTTGCAGATCTGGCCTTGAAACTTTCTGTCAAAGATTGCCTTGACAACAGTGCCCTTTCTGGTTGATCAGCCTCTTTTCCTTTGACTATGTTCCTCTGGACTCCAACAGCCTTTCAGCACTCATTCGTAAGCATCACTACA